TAACCGTAATCATTCAGTAAACATATTGCCACCAAATACAACACATTTCTATTTTGTTAGCAGAGTTAAATCATTTTTCTTATGAGTTATTCCTGTTTTTGGGCAAATGTTAACACACCTACCCACTTCAAAATATAAACCTTTTTGACGTCTTGGAGTAGAAAGACAAAGTTAGGAATATTTCCCACGTATGTTTATATTGTATGCATAGCTCTACTACGGCTTGGACAGGTAACTCGGGTACTCGGGTACTCAGGTCGGGTGGGTCTTGAGTAGGTCCCTGGTACCCACAGGACTACCCGGACCCCTGGTTAGTCACATGACATGTTTAATGACAAAAACTCTCTATAGCTCAGTGGTTACACTACAAGTCGCTAATGTTCGCATTTCTTTCTGATGATGCACACATTCCTTTTGACTTGTATATCTTTGAGTAAAGATAAAGCTTCAGTCAACTTCAGTGTACACATGATCATGTATCTTAATAATTTTGGCCACGGCTGTGGTAAAACAATTCCCAATCAGACATTTTGTTCCAAACTCTTGAGACCTGCAGTGGGTAGGGTCAGGTAATAGGGGGTCGGGCACCCGGGGAGTAAATTTGGACTCGTCCCAGCCCTAAGCTCTACATATGTGGACACATATATATTTCCTACATGCTTATCTCGTTCACATAAATGAAAATATTTTATTCACTCAAAGTTTTCTGACACCAGTATAATAAAAATCTTTCTTGTACAGCACGATTAGTGGGTGTATTCGAAAAACAGTGAAATGTTTGCACAAAGAATATGTTAGACTATGTTTACTATTATTTCTGTTACATACTGATATCCTGTATGTAAAATGTATGACAACAATAATTTTGAAATTTTAATTTTCGACAGTTATATTTTGAAGGTCTTTCCTGCACCTGATGGCTGCACACCTAACAAAATGACTGCAGTGAAAGTAGTTTGTGATGTTTCTCAGTGGAGGCTTTCGTAGGATAGCGCTTCATCTAAATATAGCGACATAAAAAATTACATAACATAGCCTATGTCTCATATTTCGAAGGTGTTGCAAGCCATCGTCACTTCGGCCTGTACTGGCTTTTATATTGTGATATGAGAGACGGGGGCCCAGCTGACAGTTACCCAAAACTAACTGTTCCCCTATTTCACATCATTACATCACAATCTCATAGAAATTATATACATACACAACATAGCATGTAACGAATGCAAAGATACAAACAAACCTCGAGCCTCAAACGAAACCAGAAGTGATAATGTGTGGAATACAAGGGGAGAAAACTCTGTCATGGGGTAAAGGAAAAGCCACTAGAAAATATGAACAGACTATAACTTTACAAATGCATATATACCGTATTCGACGTAATAATTACCCTGCTCTATTAAGCGCCCACAGCGATATTTGCTAATATGTTGGATAGTGAACAATCCCAATTAGCACCCTTACAATTGATCAATGTACTCAAGACTTATTCATTTGTGTATAATGTCATGCACTCGTGTGTTATATGCACCCTTAATTACGGGTAATTAAATTCTGGAAAAATATATCTGTCGTGCACAGACTTTTCTTTTGTATCATTTCTTTTGTATCATTTGTATCATTTCAGGCTATCAGCATAAACCACAAAATTTACGATCATTCAACTCTTTCACCAAAATTATATTCTAATAAGAGACCCCTATTTCTAATCTTGAGAGCGCCCTAGGCGCCTATTATGTCAAATACGATATTGGTTTTTATTCCCCATCACAAAGTGAGGCAGGGATCAAAGGAATGGAGCTTGTCCGTACGCTTCTCAAAAGGGCCAACATTTTCTCAAAAACTATATAAGTCAGAGAAATGAAATTTTACACACTGATGTTACTGATCATGATCTCAAACGAGTTCGGAAATTGGTGTAGTCAGAGACCGGGGTGCTTTGGGACACGGGGTGCTTTAAATTGGGACACGGGGTGCATTGGGACACCCCCCAAAACTGCTATTTATAGGTGTTCAATCACATGATCATTTACACTAAAGGAAGTGACATCATACACCGTGGCACTTTTTGTAGCAGGGATGGAAGCAGCACCTGTTGACAGAAGTTTGGTAAGTTACATGTAATTTTTGCACCCCAGCCTGGGGTGCATTGGGACGAAAATAGTATATTTTTAAAATCATTGTGTCCCAGTTAATTTCATGTTTGTGAAATAAATTTTTTGTACAGTGATTCATTATTTTATTAATTAATTTAAGGGGCACTGATCTAACGCAATTCCCCGGACTGGTTGTTGCCTTTGTTATTGTTTTTTCCCCGTGAGTACCCGGATGATACCCAACGCAACAGAGCGTGACCAGAGACTGGGCTACCGTCTGCAAGGACAGCTAAATAAACTTGGAGGCTGGAGGCAATAATTGTTTTACGCATTTTATAACACTGATTGGTTAACTGTGATCTATAAAGATTTCGTTTGGTTATAGTTTAATAATACAAAAAAAGTATCCATGCAGTGAATTGCGGATTGCGTCGATAATACGATTACTACTCCCTTGTTGTCATCCACGTTTTCTGGTATAACCCTGCACTTGTGTATTTGTTGTCATTCACTTGATGCTCAGTTAATGAATTTATTACAGCTACAATTAGTGGTAGCACCACTTAGATTACCTGACAAAGGTTCCCATTTGGCATTTATTGTGTCTGGGGTAATTATTCAATCTAAATCCAGGTTTGAGGTGAAATGTGTGTTATGTAATATGCACGTGGCAGCCCAGCAAGAGGTGAATGATTTACTTTTTTTGTAAATCAACAGATCGTTCCTAGGCATCAAAGGCTTAACAGAAAATACGTTGATTGATTAATCACTGTTATCTTGCACAGTGGATATGTCAAAAGTGAGTGTTTACATGTCTAGGTTTACTAAAACAAAGGGAATGCTCTCATATCATGGCGTGAAGTGCCGATGTAAAAACAACATACTTTGTTCAAAGGGTTAACTGATAATACGTTGATTGATTGCTCATTGTTATCTAACTCTATGGATTTTTAGGAACCGTGGACGTTATGAAAATAGTTGTCACGTTGGCTTTCTCAGCCGACCCTTGAGACTTGACACCTATGTGAAACACCTGAAACAATCCAAGTGATCAGTTGAGAAACGAACACGGGTTATAATATCCCGAAACGATATATATCTTTTAAAATATTTGATTGTAACAGAGACACGTGACATCGAATAAGTTTCTTTGTACAGCTGCAGACGAGTGGGATATTGTTCCTTTGTGTGGATATTCACGGATACGTTTCCTCGAACAAGGAAGCTGCCTAAAATTTAGACACATTTGGTAGGTTGTAATAATGGTATTTGCATTTTGTTTTCCTTCATTTGCTGCAGCATTGAACCGATTCGTTCTTGTTCCTCTACGTCTTGGTTGGGAAATTCTTCAATGCGCGATAGACGTTGTTTTCACAAGTCTTTTCCTTTGTAAGCGTGTAACCGTCAATTTGTAAAATGTGATTCTCTCAGGCAATTTATAAAATGTGTAAATATTTCAGTCATTTTGACTGAAAAATCTGTCCAGATTGACTTAAATTGATAATGACGATCAAAGGGGCCTAAAACATCACAACAGATTATTATGTAGGATTAGAAGCCAAACAACATAGAAATGTACTTTTCAACGTAACATTTTCAGTCTCTTGGTGATGACATTAAACATCAAAATGTTTGGAATTCGTTATCATAATAATACAGATGGAAATGTTTTTCAGTCACTTTGTAAAATAACTGAATATTTAGGCGTTAATAAATTTGAAAATGTTACACATTTTGACAGTCAAAAAATATACACACTTTAAAAAAAGCAATGCTCAGGTGAAATATTTACTTTGAGTTGCAAGTCAAAATAGTGTAAACGAAAATCGCAAAATTACCAAGCAAGTGACTTATCAAAACTTCGTCACCATTACCGATGCTACCCACAAAGATACCTACATTTCCTTATTATCTCGAAACTGTATTTCATTTTGTTGATCAATGTGACCATACGCCCTTATTACTACCGATAAAAGTGACTAATGCGCTTACGAATTGCGCAGCAGAGGTCGCGAACTAGTCTAGATTTCTGCTATACATCCGGGTACTCGCCGGGAAAAAACAATAACAAAAGCAACAACCAGTCCCGGGGAATTGCTTTAGATCAGTGCCCCTTTTTAGTGTTGATTAGAAGATGTGTCTATTTCTTTATGAATCCATTTCAAGTGGGATATGGACTGGATAATAAACATTTTGTCCCAATGCATCCCAGTCTCCCCAACTGAATGAAATGGGGACAAGTTTTCTTAGAAACTATTGAAGTTACATGAATGAAAATTTGCATTTTTATTTCAGCGATATTTGTCAAGACTGAGTTCAATATTTTTTACAGTGTTACGGCCCTTTATCCATGTTATTATACTTAGTGCATAGATCTATATATAGTGTGTGCAATGGAGACCAGTTTTCTCAGAGACTACTGAAGTTAGCTTATCTAAGAGATATTTATCAAGACTGAGTTATTTTTCCAGATAAGGGGCCTTTTGTGTGTAATAATTTCACATTTAATTACCTTTTCTGATGACATAACTTAAAGTGTCTATCGCTTCTTAGGCTTTGTAGTTTATGATCACAAGAATATTCTATTGTGCCCCATGGCTTATTATTATTATTATTATTATTATCCCAGTAATGGAATGGTGTTTCTGAAACCTCACATACCGTAACTCTATGATCGAGATTTAACAATTTACGTCGCAAACGATTTGCCAATTACATACTCTCATCTGTTGCTTGGGTTGATTAGAAATTTGATATGCAGTTGAGTATGTGGTATGCAACAAAATGGAAAATTTTCACCTTACATCCTCCGATGTCGATTCAGTAAATGTTTGCCAGTCTTAAAATACCCGGGTAAACCATGTTGTAGACAGACAGTAACGTGACCGATCACGTGATATCTGTCAAATTCTCAACATGGCGGCACTGATTGTTGCGGTGGTGGGGATCATATTGGTAACAATATGGTTTTTTCAATCGTCACGCAACAAGGAACTTGTAAACAAACTGCCCGGTCCCCCTGCACTACCCTTAATCGGAAATGCTCACCAGCTATCGCCATCGGGAGCAGGTAAGAGGCCCCGATTTCAGGGAATCTATGTGTACGTTTTAGGCCAAGATCTACTTATATTAATAGGGCCAGAGCCTATAAGTTGCGTTCATTGTATCGTAGTTGTTCCGATCAAGACGGCACGGTTAGTGATCTTTATCATGTGGTGTCTCGACAGTGAAATGTTCAGAATGCATATCTTTATGCAGTATGATGTAGTGTACTGAAATGTAAATTAAATAATAAGAAGGCTTTTACAAATACATCATTTCTTTACTGTACAGTTTAATTTACATTTCAGTACACTACATCATAATCTTAAGTGTTCATAATAAATATCTTGCATGAGAACTATTGCATCTAATACATAATATATATTGAGCCACATACTCAAACCTTCTCTGATCCGTAAACATATGTGACTTTCTTGTACAAAAACAACATACACCAAACGTATACTTTAATGGGCAGGTTTTAATTTAAACCTTTGAAATATTTGAATATATGTGACAATGAACCATTATTATTCTTCAGTGTGTAAGGTTTTGACTAATGACATGATAATGTACTGAGGTATATGGCTAAATGTGTGAAAAGGGTTGATCTTTCAACTTTCTTTCAAAGACTTGCTAATGTTCAAATATTTGAAGAAAATCTTCCTGAAATCCCCAAACACAGCCTTATGGTACCCGTTATCAGACATGTTGTAAGTGACCTGCTTATTAGACCTGACTGATGTTCATTATGTTCCTGAATAAACATGATATCTTTGCTATGATGTAGTACGCACTGAAAGTTTTAGGAAAGGACATTAATCTTTAGACCCCTGTACTTGCTGTGGAATTCTGCCAGACTTTTCAGACTCATTTCTTGTCTTTGATCCTCAGATTTAAGATATGAGTTCACAATAATATGCTTCATAGATAAATACAGTACAGGTGACATTCTATTCATCATGTTCATGTTGCAGTATTGATTGGCATCATACCAAATAAAATTACAGCAGATGTCGAGTATTGTTTTTATCACTTGAGTCAGAAAGTAGGACATGTTTCTTATCTAGTTTGATAACACACACACACACAAACATGAACCTTGCCCAGCACGTAGGCGTTGTGTTGCAATAGACCAATGATATCATTGAGTAGTATAGATGATGTGGGTACGGCCGCAACACACCCCGGACCAGGCCTGGACCCTGCCAGTGCTTCTATTTTGATCGAATCACCTGCTTCATTGTGTTGTATTTGGTGTGTTCTGACAACACTAAACAAAACTCCTCCTCAGATATCTTGCAATCAGCTAGTCCTGTTGAAATATGATCCTCAATGCTATTTAACTTTGCTTCAGCCAATTAACACACAAATACTATCATGTTTTAATGCTTTCTTTTGCAACTTACGAGAGAAAAAATTAAGAGCTATTCCTGCCAGTCCAAAGATTCCAGCCGCTACTTCCACACCAAGTATGATAGGCGCAGCGATTATTGTTAATAAACCAAGACCAGCCGCACCAAGCCCCATGCTAGCTGTTGTAAGTGCAGTGTCAACTCTGTCCAAAGCTTTCACAACTCAGCGATACTTTTTATATAATCCAATTCGAGAATCATGCTCTTTCTTCTAGTTGATGTTTTATTTCACTTATTTGATGTAATCAAGAGGGCATGGGTGGCCCAGTCATCAAAGCCTATGCGATTCGCTGTGCGGAGTTGCATCCCTTGGGCACACCAGAAACCTATGATTATTACCCATATGGGCTCAAATATGCAGTGTAATAACTTTTTGATATTTGCACAGTGTGCAATTAGTGATTCTCGAAGCTGATTGGTCAGTGGAACAAAGATCAATTTTCATTGGACAACGGAACTATTTTTTATCTCATCCCATTCATTCACAAATCGACGCCTTTCCCTTCAGATGTTTTTACGTGCTACAATCTCACTGATTCGAGATTTTTAAGACAAGACACCTAGTTTCATATTAACAACATGATTTCACATTATCAATTTTTTCATTTATTTTTCATGATTTTCATTTTACAGTAAAAACCAAAACTACGTCCCCGTTTGTAAACAAACATGGCTGGCCATTTGAGACCTGTCAAAGTAAATGACCTCGTTAAAGCGGACGGAGATCTGACTGTCATGAAGAGTTATTCGTATAATTCAACCTCTGAACACATTTAATGTCTTTGTTGTCAAAACTGCATATGGCCAGATTGAAGTTCCAAGATTCAGATTGTGATGTTGCCAGAAACTGTTTCTAGGGCGCCAAGATCATCACCACCAAGTCCTTTGTGTCTGTGTTAGAGGGCTTGCTGTTTGATGAATTTTTCGACCCCCCCGAATCCAAAAACTGGACTTTGTATAGACAGTTTTGCCTTTGTGAACGATGATGACATCGATAACTGCCAATGAAAATGAAAACACAATGAAAAAGACTAAACTTGTCAAGTTGACATGAACTTAGTTCACAAATGTATACAGGTAAGAAAAACACAAAAAATATGACTACTCACACTTTCAACGATGGCATGAGAATAAAAACAAATTCATTTTGCAACAACATTTAGACTTTCCGAAAGACATCAAAAAGATACACTATTTAGTACAATTTTGTAACGTTGGGTGAAGAAATAAGAACGTGACACTTTTTTATACAATGTATACGTTTTTCGTAACCGCGACGTCTGCAAAGTACGGCGCTAAGCAGTATGCAGGCTGACTGACGTCCGGGGACCATATGACTATGAGGGTTAATGACACAGGAAAGGTGCAACTAAACATTATTTGCAAATTTATCATTTCGGCTTGCACATCAGACAGTTCAGAATTCGAACTGTCTACTTTGTAGGAGATCAAGGGTAGCATAGAGTGTTACCTTAGCGACATGATTACCGGCATCTGGTTGCGAAATCGATGCACTTTGCTCAATTCGGAGAGGTTTTGAAATCAAAACAAAAATTAATTAAAAATACAAGGAAAAGAAAACTTAGCCCAGCGAGCTGATCCTGTGTCCAATATTGAACTAAATGAACTCCGTGAATGCGGACAGCTTAGCACCAAGTCTCCAGATACCGTGTTTGTCTATCAACAGGTATTCAACCATTATGAATCACAATATTCACATCAAAATATCAACAAACTCTTGTCATCTGACTGTCCACTCCGCGTTTGACAAGTCCTCCTGAAATCCCCCATGCACATGTTTCCAATCAGTGACACTTGTCTCAAATCACACACGATGTTCATAAAACTTATTGTCCGGAGTAAACTGTAACGCCGGTTCTCTTGTCATTCCTGGTTTCGGCTGTCTCATATCTGGGTCAAGTCGGGTCATTCATTCCGACGCTGTGACAGCAATCGTACTTTTCAAAGTTTACCTTCTTTTCGTAACTTTTCTCTAACAAACAAGACTTCTGTACATTCCGTCTATGTTGTTGTTATAGGTTTTGGCATTTTTGTCAAATGACACATAATAAAATTGACAGGTTTTCCGTGTTTCCTCTTCTCAATGTGAAATGCATGTATCTGCCGATGCACGACGGGGGCTGTCTGTCAGTGACGAGATCTTGTCAAAACAAGCTTTGATTAAAAAACCTGATGAACCTTTTTGGAAACCCGTCTTCTTTATCAATGCTAGATAGTGTATGCTGTGTAAATCGGACAGAAATATAACTTCAATAATGTGATCTTTACAGTTCTTTAACAGAACTATATTTTTCACGTGTAACAACACGTTAATTGGGTAATGCGGATTGATACAAAACAGCTGATTCTTGATCAGCGACAGTTGATTGTTTTTTTTTTGAAACATGTCTTTAATATGAATATGGGTAATAAATAGAATTACCCACGCGGTACGAGTGATTACGGAAATTTCACTCGTGACATATTTTCCGTAATCACTCGTACCTCGTGGGTTGTTCTATAATTGTGGGTTCGAATCCCGGTTCATCCCGATTATATTTCTAGGTTTGTCAGCACCAGGTTATTCTTGAATGAGAAAAGCTGAATTGATTATCTGACTGGGTTTGGAATACAACAAACCCCCTACTGTTAGAGAACTCAAAGCTCAGGCGAGAAATCGTTGGCTGAGAAGTTATTCTCGAATGAGAAAAGCTGAATTGATTTCTTTACTGAATGTTGATAACAACCAACCAGTTATTGATAATCAGCCAGTTATACAAAATGATGAGTTAAGATTTGTTCCCACAGATCATGCCATTGGTAAATATCCAAGGATTGGAAGATGGATATTAATTCCAACATGCATAGTAATGATGTTTAATGTCATCATATTGAGCAAAATTAATGAGGAGTTAGATGATTTAAATAGTATAAAATATCAGCTAACAGTTAAAATGTCATTAGGTAAAAATAACACAGATGATAGCATTGAATATACTGAGCCTTATTTCAGGGGCAACCAAGAAGTTATAACTAAATCAAGTTCTATGAGTTAATCATTAGATACATCATTTCAACAGATCCAAGAAACTTTAGAACGATGGACTAATAGTGGTTCAGGTTAAGGTGTGGATAGAATTGATACTTTATATTTAGACATACAAAGTTATATACCTTTGAAAGGTGGATCTTATATAGATTTACCCCCATATTATAAGGAAAAACAAGCCATAATTAACGTTAAAAATAATGATGATAACTGTTTAAGATGGGCATTAACATCTGCCTTGTTTCCTGCTGATTCTAAAATTACAAAAAGACCTTCGAGCTATACCCTAAATGATGGACTCGACTTTGAAGGTATAGATACGCCTACACCAATCTAGCAAATTAATAAGGTGGAAAAGCAAATTAATTTAGCTATAAATGTTTTCGGGAACTGTTGTGCACAAGTTGAGCTCTGCCCCAGGAAATATTCCCAGAATCAATTTATTTCTGGTTGAAAAATAGTAAATACCATTATACATGGAAGAGTTTAAGCAGGCTTTAATACGATCAAAACACCCATAAAGAAAAGAAATATTTCTGCGAAAGATGACTGCCTGTATACAGCAGACAAGATCTTTTAGAAGCACATAAAGAAGACCGCAAATGTGTTGGCGGACTGCTATCAGGATCGATATGCCTAAAGAGGATAAAAATATGTTAAAATTTGATTGTGAATCAAAAGCCAATATCATAAATAATTTACGAAGACTTTGATTGAAGGACTTATAAAATGGATAGAACGTGCATTCCTAATAATATGGAAAGATATATATCATTCTCGTTGAATAAAACTATACATTATACGGACAAGGATGGGAAAGTGAGAACAAAACAAAACTTAGATTCATAGATAGCGAACAGTTTCTGTTATCTTCTCTGGACAATTTAGCTAATGCAAACAATCCTGATGACTTTGCTATAACAAATCAATATACTGATCAGATAACTCAGCATTTGTTGCTGAGAAAAGGTGTATATCTTTATGAATATATGAACGATTAGTCTGGATTTGATGAAACTAACTTACCACCTGTTGAATTATACTATAGTAACTTAACATAATCTATAATAACTGATGCTGATTAAAAACATGCTTTTAATGTGTGGAATAAATTAGGCTGTAAGAATTTAGGTGATTATCATGATCTATACTTAAAAACTGATGTACTGTTATTCCCCAATGTATTTGAGATATTTAGAAAGACAATATGGCTTGGATCCAGCATGGAACTATTCCAGTCCCAGACTCTCGTGGGATGCAGTGTTGAAGAAGACCGGTGTAGAACTAAAACTACTCACTGATTATGATATGCACTTGTTAGTTGAGACAGGATTAAGAGGCAAAAATCAATGGAGGCGAAAAAATATTCTAAGGACAAATATAAATTAGTGGAAGGATACGATTCGAAACCTACTACACACATATAATATCTCAATGCCAACCATTTGCACGGATGGGCTATGAGTCAACCTTTACCCACAGGTGGTTTTCAGCGGGTAAACAATATTGATGTGAATAATATTCCTGCAGATTCCGATGAAGGGTACATATTAGAGGTTGGCATAGAATATCCAACAGGGTTACACAAAGATCATAACAATTATCCAAGGATTGTAACATCATGCTTTGTTAATAGTTTAGTTACTGATCCCATAAACTTGCGTCCAGGATCTACTTGAAATAACTTAGGCGATTTTAATGGTCCACATTTATATATGCAGCCTAGGGCATTAGCTACTTCAGTTGAAACTCTTGAGGTTAATGTTTCAGCCTCTTTGTATCGACTAGCCACATCTACTGCAGTTAAAGCATATTTATGTTTTGTGTCTTACCTTATCATGAGGAAGAAACAAGAGGTCAGCCTGATGAACTTCATTAGTTGTGAAAATACCAAACTTTTTCCTTGGTATATAACGCCGGGCTAGTAAGTATATTTGCCACATTGTTTGTTTCTTTAACCAATCCTTGGCAACATCTTTAGATACCTTAGCCGCTGCAGCTAGTTTTTGTATTGCCCCTATACCTTTCCAATATCCTCGTGGGCTATAGTTATTATTAATTAATATTGATGTTTCTTTAATACATCCATTTAGATAAATGTTCACCTAAGTGTATGACAGTAGACAATTACAAGCTAACAAAAGAAGAACTTGAAAAAGCTGACATTGCATTTATGCTCCGGGACAAAATTATCCAATGGTGAGAATTACCACAAGGTGTATATCTTATCATGAATGTCAAGCCATCCAAATACGGTTATCAATTGTTTCTTTCCAATTCTGAAGAAGAGTATACAATCTGGTCTCCTAGTAAAATGAATGAAGAACTTTGTAAAAATGTTGAATGTCATTATGTACAAAATAATAGTATGGTATGAATAAAAATAACAGAGAATATTTTCATTACAGTTTGGCTTAAAGGTTTCCTTGATAGATGATGATCGAAGGATCGTCATCACAAAATTCACATAAACTGAAGACCCCAATAGAAGCATTGACAGTGTCTGGGCCTGGTCCAGGGGGAGTTGCGTCCGTACCCCCATCATCTGAACTACTATTTGTCAATTTCAGCCAATCAGTTTATTTAATAAGTTGATAATCTATTAAGAGGGTAAATGCCTGCCAGCCTGTAGTCTTTAAACAAATGTAGTTTTATACATAGACAACATGATAGCATGTGATGCAACTGCACAGCTCACCATGTCTGAAGATCCATGTGAGCTTGTGGCATGGAGTGTACGTTGTTTGAGCCAATAAGGCATAACAATGTTTAGCGTGTTGAAACATCATGAAGATGTGTAGGACCATAATATGACTTAGCAGGTATAGAGGCCATTAATTTGCTACTCTCAAAAGGTTTAAAATTGTATCAACTCATTCAAAAAACGTATTTTGCAGATTTGAGTCTAGTTGGGCTAAATTTATGGTGAGGGCAGTAGCATTTGGGGAGGGTGTGCATAAAACAGACAAACCTTTGTTGGATGACAGTGTCCAAATTGGTTGTATTTTCCATTGATAATCATATGCCAAGATGTTGCAGCGCTTCATATATCAAAACTGCATGCTAAACATTTATGAGGAATACTGTAAATCATGAAATTAATGCATCACCAAATTATATGCAAGTGTCTATCAACGGCCTTAAATTTGTCAAGAAATTCATTTGAGTAGCCCAACATTTGAACTTAAGAAATCTATCAGCTAAAGATAACACCAAGACTGTAGATGTAGAATTCCATGATAGTATGAGGTGAATACAGTTTGACAGAATGTGTTTTTCAAGATGCAGTAATATGCGTCTAGTATGCACAAATGTATGGAATTGATGCTGAGAAACAATATGGTGAGTCACTTAGGAAATAGTAAAGGTCCTATAATTAAAGTAATAATCAAATCTCACAGTGCAATACACTACACCCTTTCATTACTTTTGAGGCCCCTCATATTTCCCCATTCGAAGTGAACCTGACATGGCAATAAACTGTTGACGTAAGAATGGGTCACTTTATTAATGAAAGCAAGGGACACTCACATTTTTTGCATTAATTTTTTGTTTGTATGATCAACAGTATAAAGGTGAACTGTTTCAATGTGGTTATAAAGATATTACACTGAACAAATAAAACAATTAACTGTGCAAACATGTTCTTGCACCTTTACTGTTCGCCTTCTCAATGACTCCCCTTGATTTCATCATGTTAACAAGGACATTCCTGTGTTAGATTTCTATGGGCAGCTTCTGCAGTTTGCGGAGACGTACAAGGAAGAAGGGATGTTTCGTATATGGCTGGGTGTTGTACCGGTCATAGCTCTCTACAAGGCGGAATTGTCCGAGGTCAGTGCAGCAGCATTTATTTGTTTACTTTCACTGGAGACAGAATGAGAGTATACTATTGTTCACAGTATCTCTTTCTTCATTAGGGAGGACTAATAATGTGATCTCGGAGTCAGTGTCTACTAAAGTTGAATATTTAATAAGTTAAAATCAAGTGGAGGTTAATTCTCATCTGTGACCTGGCTGACATTGTGTCATCATATCTAACGATCAGGTTCACTGCTGACATTACAAATCATCCACCCACCACCTATTGACTGACTCACACACCTACTCTTCTGGAGGTGAAGGTGATTGTTATTTCACTGCTGACATCACAAACCATCCACTCACCTATTGACTGACTCACACAACTACTCTTCTGGAGGTGAAGGTGATTGTTATTTCACTGCTGACATTACAAACCATCCACTCACCTATTGACTGACTCACATATCTACTCTTCTGGAGGTGAAGGTGATTGTTATTTCACTGCTCACATTACAAAACATCCACTGACCTATTGACTGACTCACACACCTACTCTTCTGGAGGTGAAGGTGATTGTTATTTCACTGCTGACATTACAAACTATCCACCCACCTACTGACTGACTCACACAACTACTCTTCTGGAGGTGAAGGTGATTGTTATTTCACTGCTGACATTACAAATCATCCACTCATCACCTACTGACTGACTCACACACCTACTCTTCTTGAGGTGAAGGTGATTGTTATTTCACTGCTGACATTACAAACCATCCACTCACCACCTACTGACTGACTCACATACCTACTCTTCTGGAGGTGAAGGTGATTGTTATTTCACTGCTGACATTACAAACCATCCACTCACCACCTCTTGACTGACTCACACATCTACTCTTCTGGAGGTGAAGGTGATTGTTATTTCACTGCTGACATTACAAGCCATCCACTCACCACCTACTGACTGACTCACACACCTACTCTTCTGGAGGTGAAGGTGATTGTTATTTCAGTGCTGACATTACAAACCATCCACTCACCACCTATTGATTGACTCACACACCTACTCTTCTGGAGGTGAAGGTGATTGTTTTTTCACTGCTGACATTATAAAACATCCACTCACCAATTGACTGACTCACACACCTACTCTTCTGGAGGTGAAGGTGATTGTTATTTCACTGCTGACATTACAAAACACCCACTCACCTATTGACTGACTCACACACCTACTCTTCTGGAGGTGAATGTGATTGTTATTTCACTGTCGCATTACAAAACATCCACTCACCTATTGACTGACTCACACACCTACTCTTCTGGAGGTGAAGGTGATTGTTATTTCACTGCTGACATTACAAACCATCCACTCACCACCTTCTGACTGACTCACACAACTACTCTTCTGGAGGTGAAGGTGATTGTTATTTCACTGCTGACATTAAAAAACCATCCACTCACCTATTGACTGACTCACACATCTACACTTCTGGAGGTGAAGGTGATTGTTATTTCACTGCTGACATTACAAACCATCCACTCACCTATTGACTGACTCACATACCTACTCTTCTGGAGATGAAGGTGATTTATATTTCACTGCTGACATTACAAACCATCCACTCACCTATTGACTGACTCAAACACCTACTCTTCTGGAGGTGAAGGTGATTGTTATTTCACTGCTGACATTACAAACCATCCACTCACCATCTACTGACTGACTCACATACCTACTCTTCTGGAGGTGAAGGTGATTGTTATTTCACTGCTGACATTACAAACCATCCACTCACCTATTGACTGACTCACACACCTACTCTTCTGGAGGTGAAGGTGATTGTTATTTCACTGCTGACATTACAAACCATCCACTCACCACCTACTAACTGACTCACTCACCTACTCTTCTGGAGGTGAATGTGATTGTTATTTCACTGCTGCCATTACAAAACATCCACTGACCTATTGACTGACTCACATACCTACTCTTCTGGAGGTGAAGGTGATTGTTATTTCACTGCTGACATTACAAACCATCCACTCACCTATTGACTGACTCACACACCTACTCTTCTGGAGGTGAAGGTGATTGTTATTTCACTGCTGACATTACAAACTATCCACTCACCTATTGACTGACTCACACACCTACTCTTCTGGAGGTGAAGGTGATTGTTATTTCACTGCTGACATTACAAACCATCCACTCACCTATTGACTGACTCACACATCTACACTTCTGGAGGTGAAGGTGATTGTTATTTCACTGCTGCCATTACAAACCATCCACTCACCTATTGACTGACTCACATACCTACTCTTCTGGAGGTGAAGGTGATTGTTATTTCACTGCTGCCATTACAAACCATCCACTCACCTATTGACTGACTCACACACCTACTCTTCTGGAGGTGAAGGTGATTGTTATTTCACTGCTGACATTACAAACCATCCACTCACCACCTACTAACTGACTCACTCACCTACTCTTCTTGAGGTGAAGGTGATTGTTATTTCACTGCTGACATTACAAACCATCCACTGACCTATTGACTGACTCACATACCTACTCTTCAGGAGGTGAAGGTGATTGTTATTTCACTGCTGACATTACAAAACATCCACTCACCTATTGACTGACTCACACACCTACTCTTCAGGAGGTGAAGGTGATTGTTATTTCACTGCTGACATTACAAACTATCCACTCACCTATTGACTGACTCACACACCTACCCTTCTGGAGGTGAAGGTGATTGTTATTTCACTGCTGACATTACAAACCATCCACTCACCACCTACTGACTGACTCACATACCTACTCTTCTGGAGGTGAAGGTGATTGTTATTTCACTGCTGACATTACAAACCATCCACTCACCTATTGACTGACTCACACACCTACTCTTCTGGAGGTGAAGGTGATTGTTATTTCACTGCTGACATTACAAACTATCCACTCACCTATTGACTGACTCACACATCTACTCTTCTGGAGGTGAAGGTGATTGTTATTTCACTGCTGCCATTGAAAAACATCCACTCACCTATTGACTGACTCACACACCTACTCTTCTGGAGGTGAAGGTGATTGTTATTTCACTGCTGACATTACAAAGCATCCACTCACCTATTGACTGACTCACACACCTACTCTTCTGGAGGTGAAGGTGATTGTTATTTCACTGCTGACATTACAAACCATCCACTCACCACCTACTAACTGACTCACTCACCTACTCTTCTGGAGGTGAAGGTGATTGTTATTTCACTGCTGACATTACAAACCATCCACTCACCTATTGACTGACTCACACACCTACTCTTCTGGAGGTGAAGGTGATTGTTATTTCACTGCTGACATTACAAACTATCCACTCACCTATTGACTGACTCACACACCTACTCTTCTGGAGGTGAAGGTGATTGTTATTTCACTGCTGACATTACAAACCATCCACTCACCTATTGACTGACTCACACATCTACACTTCTGGAGGTGAAGGTGATTGTTATTTCACTGCTGCCATTACAAACCATCCACTCACCTATTGACTGACTCACATACCTACTCTTCTGGAGGTGAAGGTGATTGTTATTTCACTGCTGCCATTACAAACCATCCACTCACCTATTGACTGACTCACACACCTACTCTTCTGGAGGTGAAGGTGATTGTTATTTCACTGCTGACATTACAAACCATCCACTCACCACCTACTGACTGACTCACATACCTACTCTTCTGGAGGTGAAGGTGATTGTTATTTCACTGCTGACATTACAAACCATCCACTCACCTATTGACTGACTCACACACCTACTCTTCTGGAGGTGAAGGTGATTGTTTTTTCACTGCTGACATTACAAACTATCCACTCACCTATTGACTGACTCACACATCTACTCTTCTGGAGGTGAAGGTGATTGTTATTTCACTGCTGCCATTGAAAAACATCCACTCACCTATTGACTGACTCACACACCTACTCTTCTGGAGGTGAAGGTGATTGTTATTTCACTGCTGACATTACAAAGCATCCACTCACCTATTGACTGACTCACACACCTACTCTTCTGGAGGTGAAGGTGATTGTTATTTCACTGCTGACATTACAAACCATCCACTCACCACCTACTAACTGACTCACTCACCTACTCTTCTGGAGGTGAAGGTGATTGTTATTTCACTGCTGACATTACAAACCATCCACTCACCTATTGACTGACTCACACATCTACACTTCTGGAGGTGAAGGTGATTGTTATTTCACTGCTGACATTACAAACCATCCACTCACCTATTGACTGACTCACATACCTACTCTTCTGGAGATGAAGGTGATTTATATTTCACTGCTGACATTACAAACCATCCACTCACCTATTGACTGACTCAAACACCTACTCTTCTGGAGGTGAAGGTGATTGTTATTTCACTGCTGACATTACAAACCATCCACTCACCATCTACTGACTGACTCACATACCTACTCTTCTGGAGGTGAAGGTGATTGTTATTTCACTGCTGACATTACAAACCATCCACTCACCTATTGACTGACTCACACACCTACTCTTCTGGAGGTGAAGGTGATTGTTATTTCACTGCTGACATTACAAACCATCCACTCACCACCTACTAACTGACTCACTCACCTACTCTTCTGGAGGTGAATGTGATTGTTATTTCACTGCTGCCATTACAAAACATCCACTGACCTATTGACTGACTCACATACCTACTCTTCTGGAGGTGAAGGTGATTGTTATTTCACTGCTGACATTACAAACCATCCACTCACCTATTGACTGACTCACACACCTACTCTTCTGGAGGTGAAGGTGATTGTTATTTCACTGCTGACATTACAAACTATCCACTCACCTATTGACTGACTCACACACCTACTCTTCTGGAGGTGAAGGTGATTGTTATTTCACTGCTGACATTACAAACCATCCACTCACCTATTGACTGACTCACACATCTACACTTCTGGAGGTGAAGGTGATTGTTATTTCACT